AGTAGTTATATAATATAAATTAGAAAAAAATAAATTTTTCAGGAAGAACTTTCGAGACTGTAGATCCAAGATCAGAAGAAGTCATAGCAAGAATAGCAGAAGGGGACACAGAAGACGTTGATTTGGCGGTCAACGCTGCACGTGAAGCTTTCGACAATGGTCCCTGGCCTCGTTTGCCTGGACGCGTAAGAAATTCATATATAATATATATAATTTAATAACATTCTCCTTTCATTTATCCAACTCATGTCATGTGATCATTATTATAAAATCATATTCTATTAAAATAACTATTTTTAGCTATTCCTATATCTTTTTGGACTTACATGGTATATATCAATATCTAATTTGCCAACTTTTCACTTTGATTAGTAGCCCATTTTGACCGGGTTGAATATCTTGCCATCTTTATCACTTTGATGAGTAGCCGATTTTGACCGGGACGAATATCCAACCATATTATATTCCTTCACTTGCTTAACCAAGTTCACCCAGCTATAATTATACAATTCAATTGTCGTTTTTTTTTTCTTCTTCTTCTTCCCCGATTGTGTTCCTTAGCATTCCTAAGTTATATGGTTAGAAAAGTTTTACGATTGATAATTTCGGAGTATGGACACTAGTAATAAATAGTTGATTTAATAAATGATATCCATTTCTTAAGATTTATTTAAGTCTACAAAAGGAAATTAAATAAAATTAAATGAATAAACCAAATTATGAAAAATCGTATATATATATATATGTATGTATATGACATGTAATAACGAATATTATATGAGTCACTTTATCATTTGATATGAGCCCGCTAGCATCTGGTTCACCAATGTTTGGGTCTCGGTAAAATACCGCTGACTGAAACTAATAAAAAAAAAAAAATCTTAATTGGACGATCCTCACTGATATACCACCAGCTCGGGTGTGGTCGGTCGTATCAGCGTTTGACCTCGTTAAAGAGCTCGCAGAGGTCCAAGAGTGAACACAATTAGAGGTTGTTCTGAAGTTTGGGTCCGAGGATGTGCAAGAAATTTCTACCCTCACAATGACGCCTAGGTCATCACTACCGAGGTCGCAAGTTACAAGGTGCAAAGAGTGTTTATCGACACTGAGAGCTCGATCGATATTATATTTTTGTAATGCGTCAAATATATAGACCTTGACATAATGATAGAGTCGGTAAATACGACCCTTTATGGGTTTAACGACAATGAGGTCACACCGATTGGGATGTGCGCCTACCCGTAGCGTTGGGTTAGCCACCCCTCGGGAAGGTTAAGACGGTCTGTTTTTTAGTGGTAGATACCTGCTCAGGGTACAACATCATTCTCGGGCGCCCTAGTCGTACCTTGTTTCAGGCGACAGTATCGAGCTAATGCATGAAGGTTAAGTTCCCAGTTGCGGATCAGGTTGGTGAGGTAGCAGGGGTTCAACGGCATGCTCGATCATGCTATCAGGTGATGCTAAAGAGTGCTGAGTCACAAAGATGGAAGAGAGGTCGGAAATTGGAAAAGTTCGAGAGCTCTAGTAAAGACAGGAAATCCGAGAAGCTAGAAATCTTGTGGCAGGACGAGATCATGGAGATTGAGCTCATTGAAGGGGAGGTCGGGATTATAGTAAAAATCAGAATTAATTCATTTTGAACTTATTTTTTTTTCTCGCGACTTTTTCTCTCTTCCCTTAAAAACCGTAACCCTAGCGCTTCCTCTCATCTGCATCGTGTCGCCTTCCTCGGCGCCGGTCGGTGGTCGCGCTCGACTGCCGCCCCTCTGCTGTCCCGGACCTCCGGTGTTGCCGCGGAGTGCTTGCGCCTGTGGGTCTGCCCTGCCCTTGTTCGCCGGCGAAGTTGCCATTGGAGGCGGTGAGCTCTTTGGTCGTCGATCTGTACGCAATTTGGTGGCGTCTTTTGCCCGCCGATCTCGATTGGAGGTGAGTCTTCCTCCAATTTCTACTTATGTTCCTATCTCTGTGTCTTTGTGCGAATGACGGGCCCTCTCGGGCGGTTCCGTATTTCGGCGAGACTCCGTTCGGGGTTTTCCCATCCTGGTGTCGGTGGTCTGTGGTGCTTTTGGCTGGTTGTGGGTCGAGAGGCGGGGTGGGGCTCTGACGGTGTGTCGGAGTTGAGGGTCCGAGCCGCCCCCCTGTTTCGGCTAGTGGTGTTAGACGGCGGGATTCTGGTGCTCATACGCTCGGCTAGTGGTGTTAAGCGTGCTCGGGCGGTGCTAGAGTGGGTGGTGTTCGGTTGTCCCTCCGGTTGAGGCGAGTCGTTTCGGAGTTTGGTTTGTGTTCGGGCTCGAATTCTTGTATAGGCCTTGTGATTCGGAAGCCGTCCCTTGGACTTGGATTATTCTTTGATATCAACTGTTCTCCGTTGGTTCGCGCCGGCTGATTTGCTGTGGAAGGGCCTTTTTTTGCTTAGCTTGTGTTTTTTCTTTCTCTTATTATGTACTAGATTGGTGTTTTGGTTTGGGCTCGTTGCCTGTGTGTCCTTGTTCTGTGTTTTTGGTTTGAGCCGTTGGGCTATGTGATCCCGAGTTGACCTTATTATCCTATCCTGTTGGGATCCCACACTCGGGCATTACCCTGTTGGGGTCGTTTCTTTTCCTTTTCTTCCTTTCATTCTCCCTTTGGGAGCTTTTAGTGTCGGTTGTGTTTTTTGTGTTTCTAGAGTATTACCCCGTTGGGGTCGGTTCTAGGCGGTCTTTTGACCTGTCCTCCCAGTTTAATCAGCTGTTGGTTGTCTGTATTCAGTTGTTGTTGTTTGTATTCAGCTGGTGGTTGTACTTTTGCACATTTTATATAATACCTCTATTGTTTCGAAAAAAAAAAAAAAAGAGAGGTTGGGAAGGTGATGAAGGTCGAAAATTACCTCCCAGGGGACATCCAAGTTTCCCTCATTGCTTTGTTGAAGGAGTATGCAGACGTCTTTGCCTTTTCGGCAGACGACCTAACAGGAATAAACCCAGAGGTAGTCGAGTACAGGTTGAATATTGATCAGCTGTGAAGCCGATGAAGCAAAAGAGAATGCACTTTGGTGGGGAGCTCAACATCGTGATCAAGAAGGTCGAAAGATTTCTAAAGGCATGTCATATTAGACCTACTCTATGATGGTTGTCCAACTCTATGATGGTCAAGAAGGGCGAGGGCAAGTGGCGGACGTGCATCGATTTCAGAGACATCAACAAGGCGTGCCTAAAGGAGCACTACCCTCTACTCGTGGACTCGACTGTGGGGTGCGAGCTGCTCAATATAATGGACGCTTCCCACGGATACCACCAGATACCCTTGGCGGTCGAGGACCAAAAGAGGGTAAGTTTCGTGACGTCCAAAGGCACCTATTGCTATTGCTATGTGGTGATGTCTTTCGTACTTAAGAACGCGGGGGAAACCTGCCAGAGGTTAGTAGACAAGATGTTCAGGGACCAATTTAGGAGAAACATAGAACTCTACGTCGATGGCATGCTCGTGAAGAGCAAAAGAACTGAGAGTTATGTCACCGACCTGAAGGAGACTTTCGATACGCTGCAGAGCCACGACATGAAGCTTAAGCCAGTGAACTGTAAGTTCGGGGTCAGGTCTGGCGGATTTTTGGTGTACCTGGTTACAGAGGAGGGGATCGAGGTCGACCCAGAAAAGGTAAAGGCGGTGCTCGAGATGCAGGCACCCAAAAGCTTAAAGAGGCCCAGGTCCAAATAGGTCGCTTGGCCGGGCTGAACAGGTTCATTGCCCAGTCTGCAGAAAAGAGCTTTCTATTTTTTTGAGCATTGAGGAAGGGATATCAGATCAAATGGACACCTCAAGAACGACAGACTTTCGATCGGGTTAAGTAGTTTTTGGTCGAGCTGCCATTACTCACAAAGCCAAAGCATATGAATGACCTTGTCCTATACCTTTCAATAGGCACGGTGGCAATCAGCTCGGTTCCGCTAAAGGAAGAAGGTGGTCAGCAGAGGCCTATCTACTATACGAGCAGGGTACTGCAAGGTGCGAAGCTAAAGTATTCTGAGTTAGAGAAGGCTGGACTAGCACTCATCTAAAAAACACGCAAGTTGCAACCTTACTTGTTGTTGCATAAGGTTGTGGTCAGAATGAAATACGCATTAAAGGATACCCTATGCCGGCCTTCGGCCTCAGGGAGGATGGTGAAAGGCAGTCGAGCTCAGAGAATCTAATGCGAGTTCGAGGTCAGCATCTTAAGTTTCAAGCCCTGGAAGACTTCATACATGAGTGCACAATCGAGAAGGAGGTTTATCAGTGGCTGGTATATGCTGATGGATCCTCAGTTGTTGGAGGAGCAGGCCTGCGCATGCTAGTCGTTACACCTTAGCAGGACCACCTTGAGTTCGTCGTGAAGTTATCATTCTCGACGGGTGATCATCCACTCAGACTCCCTTTTCGTTATCGAGCAGGTCAAGGTTTACGAGGCTAAAGAGGGTAGGATTCAAAGGTATGGGACTGAGGTGCTGTCTTTGTTATAAGGGTTCACGACTTGGGAACTCGTGCAGTTACCAAGAGGAGAGAACAGTAGGGCAGATCTCCTGTCAAAGGCGCAACATCCTTGGTAGACTAACAGTGCAGTTCAGTTACTCTGTTAGAGATGGGTTCTAATGCCTTGGATCAAGTCATGGAGGTCAAATAGCAAGAGGACTGGAAGTCACCCTGGATAAGTGGCTGCAGAATACAGTCTTAGTCAAAGACATTAGAGGTGATCCAGTGGGTAGAAGAGCTCTAAGGTTTTTCTTCAAGACGGGATATTGTACAAGCGATTCTATGTTGGGCCACATCTTCGGTGTGTCTCCGATCAAGATAGGGAGTACGTCTTGAGAGAGGTCCATGAGGGTTGATGCGGAGACCATGTCAAAGCTCGGGCGTTTGTGGGGAAGGTATTACGAATATGGTACTTTTAGCCTAAGATACGAGTCATGGCACAAGAGATCGTGCTGAAATGTCTAAAGTGTTAGCAGCATGGACTGTTAAACCACCGACCTGCTGAGGAGATCCACATGAGCTCACTATTACTTTTCGACCAGTGGGGAATAGACATAGTGGCTCCTCTACCTCAAGCAACCGACCAAAGGAAGTTTCTTTTGATTACGATAGATAACTGTAGCAAGTGGATCGAGGCCGAACCTTTAGCAAGGGTCACGAATGACAAGGTCATGAAATTTCTTTTAACTAATATTTGTTGTAGGCATGGCATTCTGAAGGTGCTCATGTCTGACAATGGAGCCCAGTTCAATGGTCAAATGATAATGGCTTGGTGCATGACATGAAGATAAAACAACACTTTACGTCAGTGGCCCATTCAAAGGCAAGTGGACAGGTCGAAGTCGTGAACAACACAATCCTAAGCTGGCTCAAAGGTTGGATGGAGAAAGTCTCGGGACCTTGGGTCGATTAGCTCGCCTCAGTTTTATGGGCTTACAGGACCACGCCCAGGACCTCAACAAGAGAAACACCATTCAGCATGTGTATGGTATGGAAGTCATCATTCAGGTCGAGATTAGCGTTAGCTCGGCGCGGATATCCACATATAAAGAAGAATAAAACACTGAGCTGCAGAAGGAGGCGTTGGATATAGTGGACAATCTTTGCAACCAGGCTAAGATCCGTACAGAGGCCTATAAGTAGAGAATGAGATCGGCTCATAACAAAAGGGTCCGCGCTTGCGGGTTCCAAGTGGGCGATCTGGTGTGGCGAGAGGCGGATGCACTAAAGCACGTCGCCAAGATCGAGCCTAATTGGTAAGGGCCATACGTAGTCGTGAGGGTATTTGCAGGAGGAGCGTACGAGCTGAGAGATCCTCGAAGGAAGCTTCTACCCAGGCCATGAAATGTAGTGAAGGAGTATTACGTTTAAGTTCTATTGGTCAGTTTCCATTACGTTTAAGTTCTATTAATCAGTTTCCATTATTTTTGCGGCTTATTTTATAAGTTGGTTCAGGCAGTGCAACTTGTTCAAAAATAATGTTTACTTCCTTTCTACCAAGTTTGGTGCAAGTTTTCAATTTAAGTATCTCTTAAGGGGCGAAAACCCGAGCGTGCGAGCTCAGGGGTCCAATGTCAAGGGGCTGACCCTGAGTAGATGAGCTCGGGGATCCAAGGACAATTGGTAGAACTTCGAGTGGTTAGCTCGAGGGCCAAGTATTTCTTCAAGGGCAGAACCCCAAGAAGACGAGCTCGGGGGCCTAAGGTCAAGGGGCAGAACCCTAGCAGATGAGCTTGGTGGCCCTAAGACAGCTGGCAGAACCTCGAGTGGGTAGTTTGAGGGCCAAGTATTTGTTAAGAAGATAGAACCTCGAACAGGTAGCTCGAAGGCCTTATGAAGTATTTAAGTATCATTTATTCTATAAGCGGCAGGATCCCAGAGCAAGCAACTCAGGTGCCAAGGAGGTTAAGTTATTTAAAACAATCCCGAACTACGATCAGTTTGTAACAAACCTAGGTTTTTGAGTTGATAATCTCCTTTGATATGAAAGGACCATATATATAGAGTTGATATTGGGCCTTATAAGCCTGGGACTTGATATACTTAACGCCCCCCTTCAAACTCAAGGTGGAGGTGGAGGATCTGAAGCATTGAGTTTGAGCAAGTGAGGTCGATGTTGTTCTCTAGTTTGTGCTTTAGTAAAAAAATCTGCCATTTGCAATTTTGAAGGCACATACTGAAGAACAATTGTTTTCTGATGACAATGAGATCGGGTAAAGCATCGACACCAATGTGTTTTGTAAGCTCATGCTTCACGGGATCATTGGCAATTTGTATAGCTCTAGTATTATCACAAAGAAGAGGTGTAGGAGCATCGCATAAAATACCAAAATCGGCCAACAACCACCGAAGCCATATAATCTCTGAAGTGGTAGTGGCAAGTGCTCGAAGCTTTGCCTCCGTGCTAGAGCGTGATACAACCTGCTTCTTTTTCCATGTAAGAGGAGAATAACCAAGAAAAATGCAATAAACAGTGACTGAACGACGATCTGTTGGATTACTCGCCCAAGTAGAGTCCAAATAAGCATGAAGCTGAAGCAGACTATCACGAGAATAGAACAAACACTGAGATGATGTGCCCCTTAAATACCGTAACACACGAAGAAAATGTCCAAAATGAACTAAAGTAGGAGCACTGACTCAATATATGCACAACATGAGCAATGTCGGGTATAGTGACAGTAAGATAAACCAGACTACCCACAATATAGCAATATCGAGTGGGATCCTCAAGAGGCATACCGCCAGTGGGGCGAAGCCGCAAGTGAATATCCATAAGTGTAGCCGCTGTCCGAGTATCAATAACACCAAAGCGAACAAGAAGATCATGTATGTATTTCGCCTGAGAAAGGTAATAGCCCGAGTCAGAGTGCAATATGACCTGTTTTCCCGCAATGCTGACGAGAGTCTGAAGAACCACCTTTTGGTGCACTATCTCGTTGGGAGGATGCCCGATGAGAAGCAGCTAATACACCATGAGATATTGTCAACGGAGCAACTGACATAGAACGGAGACGAGTCTCTTCAGCATTCAAATCAGACAATGCTTGTGCCATGATTAGAGTAGAAGAGTTATGAAGTAACCGTGTACGAATAGATTCAAATTCTGCTTTAACCCCCATGACAAAGCGGTATATAAAAAATTTCTCAACAAATTTATGTGTTGAACACTCCTTTTCCATGCATGGAGGCACCATGGAGATCAATGGTCCCATCAAACGATCAAAAGATGAGTTGTACTCATCAATGGACATATCCTTCTGTTCAATGACATGAATTTGTTGCATAAGTGTGTGCAAGAGTGCCCCACTATCCTAAACGTAGCGTTGTTGCAAATAGGACCACATCGCCTTAGCTGTTTGAAAAGTGGAAAGGTTCATAATCATGGACTGCTTGACACTATTGACGATGACAGCCATCACTTCCCCGTCATTAATTTGCCACATTCTGATCTCAGCAGCATTGCTATTGTCAACTTTTCGTTAAGGGCCATCATCGGTCAAGTGGAAGGCTAGACCATAACCCCTCAATAGAGTTTCCACAGACAGAAAAAGCCCACTCCCAATAATTTTGGCCATCGAGAGTGATACTGATAGCAATGCCATTGAGTTACGACATGATTCGACGGCAAATGACAAAATACCTCCGCAATAGGCGGGTGACATGCAAACAATGATTTATAAGAGAGACGAGACTGCGACGGGCAGCGTAAGATCACAAGACGGACGAGTGAAGGCTCAAATCAGGAACTGAATATCGTCGGGATCGCTCGGAATAAATGAACTCTAACCACTACAATAGGTTGGTCTAAAAAAGGCCAAAACGGACACCCAAAAGACTTCAAAATAGAAAATTGACCCCACTGGCAGCAACCTCTCGAAATTCCGATCCCACGGACGTTCACCGGAAAAAATTTCGACGAGCCATGCGCCCCTACAAGCCGGCGCGCGAGATTCTCGGCAACAAACTTTTCCGGCGCATGTGACTCACACGCGCGGTATTTTCCAGCGATGTTTGGCCTGAGAATGAATATGGGGGCGGCGAGATGACTGGTGTGGGAGGTGAGACTTGAAGGAAAAGAAAAAAAAATATTTGTTGTGGCTCGATACCATGTAACAAACCTAGGTTTCTGAGTTGATAATCTCCTTTGATATGAAAGGACCATATATATAGATAGACTTGATAATGGGCCTTATAGGCCTGGGCCTTGATATACTTAACACAGTTAACTCGAGTGCCTGAACAATTAAGTATGGAAAAGTTTATTAAGAGGCATAAGCCCGAGGCAAATAGCCCGGGTTCCTAAGTGTGTAAGTTTTTTTAGATAAGAGAAGATAGCTCGAACGCAGAAAAAATCACCGATCGTCGAACGATCCGACGAATTTCATAGCTCTGTACGCCAACACCTATGAGCTTGTCGCGCACTGCGACATGCCTCCAACCGCCGGGTCAGCTCATCAGTTGTCCCCAGCAACTGTCCGCCCCTCTGCCTTTTCCTATCGACCACAAGCTGGCCTGATTCCGATCCTCCAACCACGGATCGGGCATCGCTAGCACGCGGGGTTGTCGAGACACGCTTGCACCGACGCCGAGTCCCGCAGTCTGTCCACCTCTCTAGGTGGTCCAGTATTCAATTGTTTGTAGTTCAGTAAGCTGCATTCGTCGTATCATAAATAAACAATTACAGATTTTTCATCCTATGTCCCACACAAAAGTTGTATTTTTTGATCTAAACTATACGGCGTCCCGACGTGCTTTTAAACCTACTTGCTAACCTGAAATTTCTCGACATGTACGAGACTTTCAAAACACATACATGAATATAAAAGGATACATTCGTGGCCATAATTGTGGATCATTGAACCCTGCAATTCAAACATGCAATTCTACATTACTATGCGTTGCACGCAAATAATTCACGTATGCTCTCGCTCAATCATTGCACGATCACCTAATTAACCATGGACTTGATACTAATTGTTGGGTTCGGTGAAGAACCTTGATGATCGTGCTTTGAATTGGATCAAGAATCTAAGAAAAGAATCCTAGACGCAGCGGATCTAAAGTTAGTATTCGAGTCTTCAGGTTTAAAATTTGTTGACTTTCCAGATGACTTACACGGTCTACGAGATCAGACAAACAGGTAAACCTCACGATCTTCTGTTGTATATCTCGACACCTCTCCTCGCTTGTCTTTGTAGGCAATGATTGCTCGAATCTTCCCGTCTCAAGTCTCACGCACGTTTAGTCTCACGAAGAACAAAGAAGACCTTGTGTTTTGTCTTTGATTTTATTTCCAACAACTCACATCACTTTCTCTCTATCCCTCTCGGTTATTTTGTGCCAGATCTAAGATGGAGAAATGTGAATTTTCCGTGTGGTGGTCTGAGACAAGTTAAGGACTTAGAGTATTTATAGGCTACAAAGGGACCAAGACGAGGTGTTAAATTAGGACTCCCTGTGTGAACATAAACCGAAGGTCTTAGTCTACTTACATTAGTCAAACACAAAATAATATTTCCCCATTGATTAATTTAATTACTCACAATATAATTAATCAACTTCTTGTACTGAAACTAGTACCACTCAACCTTCACATCATGTCGGAACTTAAATTTGCCTGTGGGGATTGACATAATAAATTTTCTTGAGCTCATTTTGGAGACATCACCGCGACTTCGTCCAATAGGGAGTTCAGGTGGCCGGCCACGAGCATCAGCGAGGCCACCGTCGGGTCCCAAGACGATGAGCCCCCAAGAGCAAACCTCATCAGAAAGGCCTCTTCTTTTGGGGCCAATTTGGCCTCCACCTCAACGAGAGAAAGCGAGGGGACTTCACCCGTGGGCCGATGTCCAGCCTCCCCTACATTGGGCTTTGTTGAAAACCCGACCTTTGTTCAAGACCTGGTCTCCTCATCCTATTGGCTCTGAGAGCCGACTCCGAAAAATTTCATTAATTAGGGCAAGGGCTCCTCAATCCCCTTGCTCACGCCGATACTATTCCACTTGCACCTCCGTCGCCTCCTCTGGAGACAACTCGATCAATATTGCCTCCGTGGCAGGGGGCAAGATCTTCTCTGCCATGGCTTCGGCATATAATTTTCCTCCTAGAGCCATCTTAGTGGGTGACTCCATAGGTTAACTACCCTCCTCTACCCTCTTCTCGGGGGTACTACCAAACGAGACCTCCTCAGGTCTCGATTATTGAACCTCAACAGTCTGTTCTTGTGTTTCTAAAGGCCTCTCCTGGCACTCACCTCTGCAATTGCCGCTTCCCGCGTCGCGCCTCAATCATCTGCTCTCGGCTGCCTTTCTCTTCAGACCTACATTATTTCCAGTCGCCCCATTACTCATCGCCTTAAATCAAATAATTTGGACAAGACGAATCGAATCTCTCCGGAAATACAAAATTATGTGCCCCAGATAAAAGAATAAAACAATAAAGGGGATTTTTTTTGGTAAATAGGAAGATAAGAAATTTTTCTTTCCTTGTATATATCTCTTCAGGAAAATATCGTGCCTCTAATCAATGCACCAAAGAAACTTTTCGAAAAAGGGGGCGACTCTTCACCTGCCAACATTCTAGATTCAGACACGTGGCAAACAAATAGTGGGGGATCATATTTTTTCCACAGAGCCTCTCTCATCATTATGAGAAACGCCACGACCGCACGGGTTGAAAAGACGCAATCTTTATTCCCTTCATAAAGGGCTTTTTCTCTGCCAATTATGGGTTAACCTTCTAAATGTCCATCTCCACTATGTTTTGGCGTCTAATGTTAGCATCGATTTCTTGGTCAAATCTTGTCAAGATGAACTCAAATAGTTTCCTACGACCAACCAAAATATGTCGTCTCATCGTAGGAACTTGGGAGCCTTCTATTATACCTAAATTTTTACATATTTGGATTTGCCCCGTAAAAGGAAATGACGTGGACAATGTATTCACATCAGCGATACCCCCAAAGTCCTAATATACAACGATGATCAAACTCTTAGATACATAAAAGCACATCGTCTTGGAACGTCTGAAGAACGTAGACACCACCCTCCGTGCCAATCTCACTTCGGGCCATATACACATAAGACCAACGTCACTATGGCATAGAAGGACTATCTTCTCATATCGGCCACAAGTGAAAGAGTTTCCTTCAAGCCGATCTCAGCTGATCTAATGTGAAAAGGGTTGCCGACCAGAATCGGTTCGGGCCGCCCAGTGTGAATAGACCCACCGCCCATTCGACCAATGGCGCATTTCATGTGACCGACCCTTGTACGCTTGCCACGTGTATTGGAGATATATTGTTTATTGCTCATTCCCTTCTATAAATAGTGACACCTGCCACGAGGTGGAAAACGCATCGAAAAGTAGTGACAAAATAACTCAGAAAATACCTCAAAAAATACACTATATATCAATAGGCAAATGTTAAAATAGATCTAAAAGTGATCCAAATTCCTTAATAAATCTCAATGCAAGCGTATTAAAGCAAGTACCTAATTCGTCGACTATCTCGTTGATCTTATTTCCTTTTCTATCTCATTTAAATCCAGTCCACAATTCAGTTTATTGCTCAAAAAGTATGAAACCAAGAAAAATATATTAAGAAAGATGATAAAAAAAAAAGAAGCTATTTATTCGTCGTTTGACGCATGCATGAATGATTGCATATCAGGAAAGGCGAAGGTTAATGCTGAAATTCGCAGACTTGATCGACGAAAACGTAGAAGAGCTTTCGTGCTTGGAAGCGATGGATGCGGGAAAATTGTACAGTTTCTGCAAGACAGTGGACATACCCGCTGCAGCGGACACCATACGTTACTTTGCAGGGGCTGCCGACAAAATACACGGCTCGACTCTGAAGATGAGTAGATCAATGCAGGGCTACACACTGCGCGAGCCCATAGGGGTAGTTGGCGTAATCATCCCTTGGAACTTCCCCTCTCAGATGTTCTCCATGAAAGTGGGTCCCGCTTTGGCCGCTGGTTGTACCATCGTCCTCAAGCCCGCTGAACAGACACCCCTTTCTGCTCTTTACTATGCCCACTTGGCCAAAAAGGTAATAAATAATTAGCATGCATTCTCGTTACAAACAATTGTATGTCAAATCAAATATTAATTATCATAAAATAAAATCATGATCTGATTAAGAAATGTAACTACACAGGCTGGTATCCCAAACGGGGTACTTAATGTCGTAACAGGTCACGGCCACACTGCAGGAGCTGCCATTACCTCTCACATGGATGTTGATAAGGTAACCATTAAGGTTTACTCATAATCATCCAATATTAAATAATAAAGATGGAAAAACTTCTACTTTTACATAAGAATTTGTGTTGTTTATCATGACACAGTACCAAAATGAGTGTATGTTATATTTTTTTCTGCTATTTTGTGTAACTCTTGATGTATTCACAATATAGGCACAGCCTAAGCTGTTACAATAACTCTAATTATATACAAATAAGGAAATTACTTATGCAACAACTATTCACTTATTTATCTACATATTATCATTTTCTTTTACTATGTATGTTA